CTCTCTCTTCTCTCCCGTGTTCATTCCTCCCCCCTTCCCTCCTCACCTCGCTTCTGGGTCTGCAGACTTGCAACAAACGGAAGCACCTCCTCCGGGACCAGACAGGGGGCGTCCTGGTCGTGGAGCTGTCCCTCCGCAGTAAGCGTCTCTGTCGCCCACGTGCTCGCAGTCACGCTGGGCTGCGTCCACAGGCACAGGTGGTTGGAGCATTTTAACTGAATTGCCAAACCAGCTGTGCCTGTAGACTCAACCTTCACCTGCAACTCGAGTCTTCTTAACTGGGGGGTGGGTAGCTCATGCCAAGCCAAGGAGCTGAGATTAGTCAGCTACTGTGAGGCCTGAATTCCGGTGCCCCTAAGGAATTAGGATATGCTGAGCTTCCAAATAGAACATGCGGTCAACAATAGTAACAGAAAATGAAATGTACTGGAAACATCCAGTGCAAGTCAACAAACTTGGATTGAGCAGCCAGAACTGTGCGTGGCCTGAGCCCTGGAGTTTCAGAAACACAGGAGCCCCCATGGGCTTTGTCCTAAAGAACTTAGCAACTTGAGGAGAGAGATGTTAAATGCTAAGGGAAAGGGAGATACTGTCAATGGCAGTGGGGGAGGGGGCCATGGAATATATGACAAGGGCTTCAACCTAGTCCAGGGCTTAGGGAAGACCTCTGAAGGTTACCAGGCCATGGTTGGGGGTTGGGGGACGGAGGGGCAGTAATCCAGGCTGCCATGGGATTTTGTATGGCCTGAAAGCCAAGAATCTTTTTTATGCGGCTGAAACAAAAAAAAAAATCAAAAGAATAGTATTTCATGACATACGAATTATATGAAGCTCAAATTTCAGTGTCTATAAAGAAAGCTTTTTGAACGCAGCCACACTTACTCATCTAGGTGTCGTCTCCAGCTGCTTTCACGATATGTCAGCAATGGCAAGAGAGACCATCTGGTCCTCAAAGCTGAAGCTATTACCTGTCTGGCCCTTTCCAGAAATTCGACCAGCCCCTGCCTTAGAGAGCTGAGGAGAAAACGGCATGAGACGAAGCCACTGTGAACCCCGCTATAAACTTTGTTCTAAAGGCGATGGAGAGCCTGTTGGTTTAATCAGGGGAGGAGACAGTCAGGTTGTGTTTTAGAAACAGCTCTGAGACTTCCATGGTCTTTTCCTAAACCTTCGGCATTCTCTCTCTTTATTCACTACAGGCAGGGGATTCTCGAGTCTCTATAGCTTCTCAGGTAAGGAAAAGAGGCTCCTCTGGGAAATGTCATGGGGCAATGCTTTTAACAGGCAGATGTGTGTTTTAAAAGAAGCTTACCTTAGGCCCCAGCAAAGCCTGGAAGAGTTAAAAATTACTCTTTAAAGCACACCCAAGTGGGGCAGAGGGGATGGAGGTAGAGCAGGGAGGGAGGGGCCGAGGTAAACTGGATGAAGCAGAATTGAATCCCTCTCCCTGGCTCTCAGCAAAGACATCACCAGCTGGCTTCGCTTGTTTCCGGTATGTAGAGAACAGATGAGTGGTTTTCAGTGAGCTGTTCATTCAACAAATATTTGACCTCCTGCTATGGTTCTGCCCCTCATTAACTGAGTGACCTTGGGCAGTGACCTCACTCTTTATTCCCCAGTCTCTTCTAAGAATTGGGCTAGTAATTGCCCCTATCACACATAGCTGCTGTTTGGATTAAATATTACAGCTAAGGGCACCAAACACTGCCCAGCACACAGTAAACATCAGTAATGATCAGCCATAATTACTATAACACTGTACCAGGTGCTAGTCTAGGCCCTCTAGTCACTGCGAGGAGGCTGGTAAGGCCCCTGCCCTTCCTAACAGGTGTGAGGTGTGGGGATGGGGGTGGGGGAGGAAATATTTAGCAGCCAGGGCAGCCTCTCAGAGGAAGAAATGTTTCAGCTAAGGCCCAAGATCTCACCTGACCCATGGGAAGGAGGCAACTATACAAGGAGCTGGGGTAAGACAGTTCTGTTTGTTAACAAACTCACAGATGTAGACTTTGCTCTTGCAATTACAGGAAATCACCTAGACCAACTTTTTAAGACTCTAACCCCAGATTCTCATTTTCCAAAAGAAGTTGTATAGCGAAAGCCCTACAGTGAAATACACCATCGCTGTGTATTTCAGATTCCCACCTGTCAGACGTTTATATCCCAAGTTTATCTGTTGGATTCTTTATACCGATGAGAGTGAGCAACAGAACCCCCAAAGGATGACCAAGACTGACTTTGTAGGAAATGCTTAGAGTTTATGAAAAGCTCCTTAACAGCCCTAGGGGGATTCTTTCGTTAGCACTCCTGCTGAGTAGTCCTTGATCCTGGAGGAGCTGTTTCTGAGCTGTCGCCTGCTCTGTCTGCTTCACAGATGTTCTCTACCACCTGGTCGTGATGCTGGGGATCTGCGCCGTGTTATAGGAGCTGGCCAGCAGGCAGCTGCAGCCCCTCTGCCCTAGATCATCTCCGTCGATGACAAACACATTTTCTGTGCTGCCAGAAAGCACACACAGAAGGCCGTATTGTTGGGGAACAGGCAATAGCGCTTTGCCAAATATGCGTTCCGATGATTTTTGTGAATTTCAGTGATTGTTTTTCTTTGGCGCCCCACTTCCTCTCGTTCTTAGCCCCTGCAGGCCCCCTCCTGCCACTGGCGGAGGAGCCTTCTTTCCCTAAACTCGAGTCAGGGCTGTGGCAGACTCCTTTGAATGTTATTCTGATTTTAAAAGACCAGCACATCCAACCAAGAGCAGCCGAGCATTTTGAGGAGAATGTAGGGCATAACCACAAAGTCACTGCTGAGCACAGAATGCACAGGAAGAGCCAATTCTGACGAAGGGGCCTTTGCCACTGATGCTGACGATTCTAACCGGAGGATCACAGCTGAGCCCCAGGGGTTCAGATAATGGTGTGGGAATCAGAGTGGAATACCATCGTTTTTGCTCAATTCTGCATAATACAAAGGGAAACAATTCTTGAGATCCCCTAGTGCTAACCCAATTAATCTTATTACAGGGGCTCTCAAATATGTATAAACATTACATAGGTATAAGCTCCTCATGTTTATTGCTGATATATATTTCTAAAAATCAAAAGAAAATTACAAATTAAATAGGAATAAAGCTACAGGAAGAATAAAACTGACATTAATGTAACATAATGTGGCATTGACTAAACGGAGCTGTTGATTACATGACTACAGATTGGTAACCACCACAGGTTCTCTGAAGCTTGTCAACCCCATCCCACCGTAGGCCTTTTGATGCTCAATGCTCTATTTTTTTTATATTTGCTCTACTAAGAAATCCTCATTTGTACAGAACTGTCTCGCCTCATTTAGCTTCTACTTCAACATTCAGAGCCACATCTGTTTTGTCTCAATAACTTATGATCATTAGCATGAAACCAACAACACAAAATTAGAAACACAATGCAAATTTGGCCAATGAAATCTCATGGTGACACACCTTGATAACACTGCCCCTCCCCTCCCCAGTGACCCAGAATATGTTGATATTAGTAATTTACATTGTCAACAAAACAAAGACTGAACAAACCAATCCTGGTGGAGAATTGGCAGGTCCCTGAGAAGCACTGTAGACCCCAGTCTGAGGCTAGAAGCTGGGGTGAGATAGAAGAGGTCAGAGGTCTAAGTTCTTTCCTTAGCCTTGTACAGACTTAGTGGGCTATAATTGGAAAACACATCTATTTGTATCTCTGTATTTTATGTATTTGAGAAATTCTGAGATCTGTAGTTTGATGGTTCTCTTACAATTGTGTTAACAAACTCAGAAATGAAGCGAGCTCTCAAATCTCTGGAGACAGAGTAATGTTTGTGTAGCAATAGGCTAGATTAAAATGACTTGGTGTAGTCTAAACCAGTCCTGGCACTGATCTCAGACCAGCTGGGCATCTCTTCTTTCTGTAAATTTAGAATTATTGTAGCCAGGAAGGACAGGAGACATATTTTATTGGTTCTAGTGAAAACTCTTAAATAGCACACTCCCAGCCATAATCAAAACCCCTGGTTGCCAGAGTAAAACAATGTTGTATTAGTTTTGCTTTACTTTATCATAATGTTTAATGATCTTGTATCTCTACCTGGTGCTATGGAATAAATAAAATGCCTTAAAATAAATAACTTATGACTAAGCTCACAGTGTTAATATATCATGTTGATAGGTAATTTCCAACCCTCCCTATGGTTTCTGCAACTAGAGATTCTTAGACTCATATAATCACAGACCTCCCATCATTCTGTCCTGAATTCACATTTCAAAAATTCTAGTATTGGGTTTGTGACGCAAGGAGGTAAAGCCATTTCATGTGATTAACATTTTAGGGGAAAATTCTTTTTGGTCATCCCTGTCTCTAAAGCCCTAAGGCCTATAACTAGCAACTGGATGTGTTTTGACTTAAAGTTAACTAACAGCCCCATGATGTCTGGTTGCCCTTCACATCTCCCAACTTCGCTATTAAGGTGTTAAGAGAAAGCACTTTCAAAACAGTCTCTCTTACAAATTCCCCTTCACATAAATGCCTTCTGCCCTCCCCCTTCTGTGCATCAGTCAAAAGCTTTCCATCTGTGATGCTGGAGAGGAGCCGAACCTAGCACAATGAAAATGGAACCGTGTTCATAGAAAGTGGAGTCTGTGCAGGTCCCAGGGTCCAGTCGCCCACCTCTGGGCAGGAGAAAAGTTCTGCCGATGGAAACACGTAGGAGCTCAGTGTAGACGGGACTGTTTGTAGAGCACTTTGCTCGGCCACTAGTTAGTGTCCCTCTTACTGAAGAGAGGGAAGAATTCCACCAAACCTTTTGTAAAATTTGGTACTAAACACTCTCAATCCACCAAAGGTAGTTTATTTCCCTATACAGAGCTCAAAAATATCTCCACAAAGGCAGCTCAACAGTCAAGCTAGAAAATAAAACAACCTCCCCGGCCCCATTGGTTTTCCCCCCTTCGGCCATGGGAAATTCAACAGGAAAAGGGCTTGAACATGATACATCATTCCAGTTTCTCTGCCATATTCCAGAGCAGCCACATGGGAGGCCATCTAGGCGAGAGGAGGTGCGAGGGGGGAAACAGCACTGCAAATGCGTTAGAGGCTCAGTCCATCTGTCACAGAACCACTGACTGAAACACGGATCCCATGCTCTGTGCGAGGGGGACATGCTCACAGCAGAACGGGTGGGCCCATCCAGCATGTCTGCTGGAGATTATTACAAAAATTAAACCCATCATAAATGAATGAAAATTTCTACTTAAAAGCCAAGCCTTGATTGCATGCCCTGCCCAGGGGCTAGAAAAGAAATTAAACAATAAATTGAGAATGGGATATTATCCACTTGAAAGCCGCCACACTCCCAGAGGTCAGAGCTCCAGCCCAGACCTTCCAGCCTCCGACTGCAAGTGTCCTGTCTGCTTGGCGTAGCCGGGTCCTATTGGATTTCAGTGATGGCTCACACCTTGGGTAGAACTTTATCCCCTGAAAACATTCCTGAGATGCCTTCTGATCTGAGCTCCCTCCCTTTGCAGGCTGAGTAACTGATAAGCAAATAGGCACTAAAGGTTAAGGAGCAGCCACCCTGCAAAAGGAGGCAGAGCAGGGCCAGACCTGTGGGTGGCCCCAGGCTTCCCCCTCCAGCTTTCCCCTCCTGCAGAAGGAAACTGGGTTCACTGCAAATTCGCAAGCTAATGAGGCGGAAATATTTGGCAGCTAGGACAGGCTCCCTGGCAGGTCTGGGAGCAACGGCCCAGCCCTGGTCCCCCAGGAAATGAGCTCACTATTCCCAGCTTGTCCAACTCCACATTTGCTCCAGGCCACAGAACTCTGGGGTGGGACCCGGAGGCCAGCTAAATGGCGCCCCCTACAGGGAGACTGGCTCAATACCCAGGAACTGCTCGCCAGAAGTGGTACATTTAACGGACCCTGCAGGCCTTCATGGGACCCCACAAACATCTTTAACCACTCACCTCAGAAGATCCCTGGGACTTCAGCCTCCTCCTCAGGAAATTCGGGGAGAGGGATAGTGAAGCCTTCTTTGCCTTTCAGCCAGAAAGTTGTTTGTTCTCCTTTGCCCTGTGGGAGGCAAAGAAGAGAGCTGGTGAATCACAGGAGAGGCTGCCAGCGAGGTGTGGCCTCTGAGCAGGCCACTCAGGCCTCCCTTGCTTACTGAAAACGCTGTTTGCAGCCAGAGCTGCAGCCAGCCAGGGGCTGCCTCGGTGAGGGAAAGGCCTTCTTGGAGACGAAAACTTAATGATTTCCTTGGGCTTTGCTGATAAGCCTAGATGGACAGCAATGGCTAGGGGGTAAGGGCCAGTGCAAAGAACATCTTTTAAAAATAATAATAAATACTTTTGAGGTCTTACTATGAATAGGGCCCCAAGTGATGCCCCTCGCACAAGTGCTCACATTTAATCCTTACATCTACCCGTTGAGGGCATTATTATCACCAGTCCCATTTTACAGATCATAAAACTAAACTCCCTAATCAGACAGCTAGTAACTAGTGGGACAGGGTTCAAAGCTAGGTCTACACTGCTGCTTTCTAGAAGATTCTTCCTCTGCTCTGAAGTCAGTTGATCCAATCCAGCTACCAGGGCCAGACTCAGCAAACTGAGGAGTTGATGCCACCCTCTTCCCTTTTACTTCTTTCCCTGGACCCACCACCCACCCAAACACCCAGTGTCATGGTAACCACCCACCACTCCCAGTGTGAACATCTCCAAGATTTTCTTGAGAACATCTCGAGGGGAGAACCCCTCCCCACCCAGACAGGGCCATATTTATCAGAGAGATGAGATTGTGTCTCAGTACATTTCAATGACAGCCTGGATGCCAGCATGGAGGAGAAGGCAGAGGGAGAGAGAAGAGATATCTAAATGTACAGAGATGAGGGCCTACTACCCCCACACCAATGGGTTCCTCTCCCCTCTACCTGGGCACTTTAGACTCGTGAGAAAGGGTAGAGAGGAAATGTGGTGCTAGAATTCCTAGCTTGTATTTGTTGTTGCCTTGAGTAGACTTGACTGGGGTGTTCAAGCAGAAACCAGGAGACCATCCTTGGCAGAGAGAAAGGAGGCACCTCACAGGGGTTGGTCTAGGTGGGAGACAGGTGTTTCCTGGCACAGATTCCTGTCTGACCATTTAAAGGAATAGCACAGTCTTCTTTGAAGGAAGACCTGACCGTCCCAAGAGCTTCCACATGGACCTTAGGGGCCTCCATGCCCTACAGAACAGAGACTCACTCATCCATCAAGTTCTTCAACATCTCCATTAGAGACCCAAAGGTCAGGTGGGCACAGCTGGCCTGGTCTTACCTTGACTGCGATAGTGCCTCTCTTTTGCAGATTGTACCCTCCCAATGCCAGCAAGATGCCTGCAGTATTCTGGGAGACGTGAATCCGGAGAGCTGCCATAAACCAGTGATTATTTAGTTACCACCTTGGTTGTGACCTTGTACAGGGTCAGTGGGGCAGGGGCTGGTGTGGAGAGGGAGTGCTACTCTGCTCAAATTCTCAGACTGCCAACAAATCCCAGACCACCTCTCTGAAGTCTGGGACACTTGGACTGGGAGCCCCCCCCCCC